TGTTAGAATTATGCGGAAATATGTTTGAAGAATGAGAACAAGATTAAAGAATGAGAGAAATTGAACAATGAGAAGAATTAGAAAAGAGTGTATATTATTTGCTTTGATTTTCAATCTATTTATAGGAGAACAAAGTAGCATGCTCTTCTTTAACCCATGCTTCTTACACCCATACTTTGATGTTTTCCATGTTCTTCTTTAACCCATGCTTCTTACACCCATACTTTGATGTCTCATTTTGTCTTCTTTCTTTTGTCAATACTTGACAATCACATAATCGATTTTGATTTTACAAGTGAGAGATTTGGACCGCTTTTGACTCTGCCGTTTAGGGCTTGATGTCTTAAATATGTGAGATTATCATCTTGTGTTAGAGAAGAGAAGCTTGCGGTTTCATTACAGCACAAAAAATTAGGTCCAGATGAGATTGAGATATGGATTGCTTCTAAGACAAAGAGGACATGGTAGTCTTGTGCTGTCTCAAAACCATTCAATAAGAATATGACAAAGAGGGTCTTGTGTTGATTACAATTTTGATTTGATCGGTTCTCATGTGTCTTACCTCTTTTGATGACATGGTAGAACATCAGGGAATTTAGACCCCATGTTGTGTCTCATTAGATTTAAAAAAGGATTTAATCTATTTGAGAAGAAAACTAGATCTTTAAAGTTGGTCTACGTTCTAGTCAAGTACTTGTGAAACCAGTCCATGTGAAGGGATTGGGGTGTTTATTTTGATTGTTGATGAACTAAACTGTGACTAGCTTACTTTAGAGATATCTCTCTCTCAAGAATTCCTGAGATTCAGAGCTTGCCTTAGCCTTGTTGTTGAACCTAATGCCCTTTAAAAGCCCTTCCCACTCAAGATAGAAACCAAGTAGTAATAGTTGATTCCCAATCTTCTTTATATATTTTGTTCTAGGTTTCTTTTCATTTTCGTTATAGGATTCCTAATACGTTTCTTTGAGGATTCTTTTGGTCCACTTCAAATCAAAACTAGGGATGAATTTTATATTCAGATCACCATCAATGGGAATATCGTAGTACAATATCACTTGTTCAAGATTCATCATTGACATTGGCTCCAAGAATTGATCACCTTTTCCCGTTTATCCATGTCAACTTAATTTGTAATTAAACATTTCTCCAAACTTCAATACTTTTAGCATCTTCACTGAAATTGATAATAGGCATAGAGGATATTTTTATATCATCAAAATCAAATCTAAGAAGATCAAGGGCCAAAGTTATGACAAGTAAAGATAAATTTGATTAAAATAATATAAATTTGAACCCCAAAAAAGTTCAACCTATCCATAAGTTATGTTATACTTTGTCTTTGAATATTAGTTTTCATAAACTGGACATCTTGAAAACAAAATAAAGCTAAGGTGGAAAGAAAACAAGATCGAACGTCCATAGTTAAGAGTAATTTTGTAAGCATTTAAATCATTACAGAATCTATTAAGAATAAAACTGTATATATATAAATGGATATTCTTACTCTTTATTGGTACATGAACCTATAATTTGTATAAGTATTTGTCTCCCATATTGCTTTAAAACTTCCGAGTCTACCCACAAGCTATAGGACTACCAATGCAAGTGCAGTTCTTGCACTCACAGAACTTCCCATGTGCATATTCGTTGCACGTTCCAATGTTATGGCAATTCTTACTTTTTCTGCACTCTTGATCGCACAATACTTTTCCATTTGGTTTTAAAGATATCGTACCAGTTGACATATTCTATAATCGTTATGTGGTACATCCAGCCTCTATTTTTGGTATTCCTGATAAGGTAGTAACAGGTAAGTAAGAGCGAACATCTATTTTGGTTATAACTGAGGAATTCCTTAATAAGAAGAGTGATACCACAAACACAAAATTTCTCAATAAGAAACCCTACTTCTTTATTTATCAAATGGACGAAAAGCAAGCTATTAAATCTCTAGGGTAAATAGCAATGATCAATTCTTCTTTGTTTAAGATTCTTCTTTTCAGGTCTCAATCGTCCATGGTAGATGAAAGAATTTGTAAACGTCAATATAGCTCTTAAAATCATATCAAGTAGCACGTCCACTGATACTTCAGGCCAACGTCTCAATCTCTCATCCGTAATTACCACATGAAGAAGATTCGGAAACTGCAAAACTCCATTCAAGATCCGCATGTCCACGCTCATATCCGGTCTAATTGATTCTGCTTGATGGGAACACAACACACCTAACTTTAAAACAAGCTCAACTTCTCCCCTGTTTTCTTCTTGACAGATACTTTCCTCAGTTGCATCGAAAATCTTCCCTTTTTCTCAAAGCTCTAAGATCCAATCCACAAGAACGTCTACATTCTTCTCTGCATGCTGCTCGATCAGCCTTCTACCGCAAATTACTTCAAGTACTACCATTTGAGTTTTTGTGGATGTTGCTTGAAGGAAAATGTACCATCGAAGGATCAAAAATTCAAAATGATGGAAACATTTGCTTATAGGAGTTTATTTGTAAGATGTGGTTAAATTTCAAGAGAATGTCATTTTGAAATACCTCGCTCTTTTAAAAAAAAAAATTAGCATGAGTTTTTTAGAAACTTTTTATTTAACACCTCGCTCGYTTCAGTCACATGAACTCTGATTTGGAACTTCGAAATGATATAAAACAAACCAGAGAAATGCAATACAAATGAAACAAATAGAATACATGCACTAGAATAAAGAAAGAGTGATATTCGAAGTCCTCAAAGCTAATCTTCATTTGATTAATTAGATGTCTACATAAAAAAYTAACATTGTACAAAAAGTGAAAAAATTTGTTATAGCTAAATAGGAGATAAAATAGCCAGAAAAATATTTAACTCTCTTCACTGCTATTTTCTGAATCCGCCTTTGGTTTTAATGTTAACGAGTGCAAATATTTTTAAATATTATAGGGGWGATTATTATAAAATATGGAACTTTGCTCCAT